ATACACACATACATACATACATACATACATATATACATACACAAACAATAACACACACACACACACACGTCATTAATCACCACTATAACTGCCCAATTTCGTTCAACCAACAGGAATGCTTGTTTGACGTGGGAACCCCCCCAGGTGTAACGACAAGGTAGTAGCCAATCACCTTGTTAAGGGTGAGACACGTGATTGGGGACAAGACAATCATACGTGAACACCTGTTATAAAGTCACACACACACACACACACACACACACACAAAAAACTCTCTCTCTCTCTCTCTCTCTCTCTCTCTCTCTCTCTCTCTCCCTCTTCCCTATTCCTCCTCCTCCTCTTCTTCCTCCTCCTCTCCTAAACCTTCCTCCACCCTTCCTCTCCTCCTCAATACAACCTTCAGCGGCTCAAGATCGACTCTAACACCTACAGTGGAACCAGACAACATGCAGTGACCTCTTGCCTTCTCCACCAATAAGAAAACCAGAAATAGAAGAATCAGTAAACTCATTGGTGGAGGTCGAATACCAACAGAGCGTCACACCACAGTTCAAGTGGACATCACCATAGATAAAAATGATGATAAATTGTTTACCTGTGAGATATATTGTTATTATTTATTAAGAACTTAGTTAAAATACATTGTTTGTTGTGTGTGTGTGTGTGTGTGTGTGTGTGTGTGTGTCAATAACCCTCCACGTACACGATCTTACCTGTGCACCTGCCTAGACACACACACATACATACACTACTTAGTCCCCTCTTTGTCTTCACATAACCTTGAATAATAGTTCCGCCAGCTGCCTCCACTACCAACCACAATCAACCACACCTCAACCACAATCTACAACTATCCACCACCACTTCCTAGTAACTACCACAACTACCAACACTGAACCAGATTATCACGCCAACCACAATCACCACTACCCGTCATAAGAGCTATAACATTATGGTGTTCTCAAGTCATATAATATCTATTGGGTCCTAACGTGATTTTCCGTTTGGTTATATTGACGTTGTTATTGTTATTATTGTTGTTGTTATTGTTGTTATTTGTTATTATTGTTGTTGTTGATATTATTGTTGTTTGGTGTTGTTGTTACTGTTGTTGTTATTGTTTATTATTTGTTGTTGTTGTGATGAGCTTCGGGGGTGAGGACACTGTACTGAAGCTTCACGTGGTCATCTATAGTGACTAGGGTGGATTAACCTATTGAGTCACACTTCCTTCCTTCCTTCCTTCCCAAACTTTCACTTTCTCTCACTTGTTTCCTTCCTTCCTTCCCTCCTCCCCACTCATTCTCTCACTGACTCCCCCCCCCACATACACACAGGAAGACTCATGGGACGCGACTCAAGTCATTCACGGGATTATGGGAGATAGTCCTGAACATGTGTGTGTGTGTGTGTGTGTGTGTGTAAGGTTAGAGACTCACTGGAGGTTGAAGGACGACCACCAGATGACTCGAGTGACTGCTATTGGCCACAAGTCGAGGGTGACGTACTGGTAAACACAAGGCAAGGGAGAAAGCCGTATTGGTTGATCACACGGAAACACGAGAGCTGATTGGTTGATCACACGGAAACACGAGAGCTGATTGGTTCTTGCATAATGATGACGTCACTTCCGAACCTTCCCTCAAGTAAATTGGCTTGAGAGAGAGAGAGAGAAACTAGGTGACGTCATGACCGCCAACCAATCCCCTAATCTCACGCCCGCATACACGTGGAATTCACCTTCCGAACCAGACCATTGACCACACCATAAGTCCGGCACCTCAAAACTCCTCCCTCCCTTCTCTACCTCCCTCCCTCCCTCCCTCCTCCTTCTCTACCTACCTCCCTCCTCCCTCACTTCACCTCCCTCCCTCCCTCTTCTCTCCTCCCTCCCTCCTCCTTCTCTACCTCCCTCCCTCCCCTCTCCTCTCTCTACCTCCCTCCTCTCTCCTCTACCTCTCCTCCCTCCCTACCTCCCTCCCTCTCTTCTCCTCTCCCTCCTACCTCCTCCTCTCTTCTCTCCTCCCTCCCTCCTCCCCTCTCCCCCTCCCTCCCTTCTCTCTCCCTCCTCCCTCCCTCTCTACCTCCCTCCCTCTCTTCTCTACCTCTCCTCCCTCTCCCCTCCACCCATCCATCATCATCGCCTACATAACATTAATGATGATGATAATAATAAACATCTTCGTCACCATTATCATTATCTAATCCCGCACTTACACTAACCCCACACTACTCCCCACACCCCACTCCCCACACTCCACACACTCCCCCTCACCCCCACCTCACTCCTCACACTATCTTGGGGAGAAAATTGAGGTCATGAAATATAATGCAGCATATAATGGTGTTGAGTTGTTAACCAAGGTAATGTTGCCTCACCTACCTATCTACTTACCTTCTTACCTATCTACCTAGTTACCTATATATCTCCCTATCTACCTACAGTAGGACCTATAGCTCCGCCTCTCAGCTCCTACCACTGACCTGACCCGACCTGACATTTTGCCACTCCAAAAGTACCACTGCCTGTTACCACACTACCACCACCCTAAACACCATTCCCACTATTTGCTACCACTACCACCACTCTCCTACCACACCCCCCCTATCCCTGCTACCATTCCTCTACCACATCACCACCCCACACCCCTATCCCTGCTACCATTCCTCTACCACATCACCATCACTGTTACATCACCACCCCACTACCACACCCCCCCCCTCCTACTATCACTCCAGCTTCTCTATACCACCACACCCTCGCCTGCAACCATCACCACCACCACCCACTACCCAGTTTTCATCACAGGGAGGGGGGATAGAGGTAGGGGGAGAGGGGAAGAAAGGGAGGGAGAGGGCACGTCTAGCCTCCTCCGCCAACAAAGACCATTATATGTGTGTGTGTGTGTGTGTGTGTTTTGCAACGCCACTAACTGCTTACTAACTACCCCGAGACTACTGCCACCTCCATGAACACCTCTACCACCACCACCACTGCGGATCACTACTTAGACCTGCATAGAAATCACCACTGATACTCGACGAGGTGCGGGATGCTTTCAGGTCTAATGGTCCAGCCCCAACAGAAACCCAGACCTAATAGACCCCAGTCCTAATAGAACCCAGTCCTAATAGAACCCAGTCCTAATAGAACCCAGTCCTAATAGACCCCAGTCCTAACAGGCCCCAATCCAAAGAGTAATGGAAGTTTCCCCCCTATGGTCAGGAATAACTAGGTGAGTGTGTGTTGGCCTCAGACAGGTAACAACTGCCCCGGACCCAGAACCTAACCTAACCCTATACGAAAGTGACCAGGTGGGGGGGAGGGGAGGTGGGGGGAAAAGGACAGTCTGTAATGATCTCCGACAGGTAGTTAATTAAGCAGTGTGTGTGTGTCAGAAGAGGAGCAGCATACGTGTTGTCCCCCCCCACCCTCCCACCCACATACAACTGACCACCAGAACCTTTTTGGGGTCTTCCATTGTAGGTATTTATTGCCACACCTGTCAGCGCCTGGAGGTGGGAGGGGGTGAAAGGGAGGTGAGAGGGGGGGGGGTGTGAGGGGAGGAGGGGGGAACCTATTCACTATACCATGATTCATGACACCTCACCATACAGTCGGCCCTCACCATGATAGTGACTGAGGACTTCACCACCATCACTACCACCATAGGATTAAATCACTACACTTGGTCAGGTGTGTGTACGTTTAACTGCCGCCTTACACCCTACACCTCCACTAAGACCAAGTGTCCCGTTACCATGTACACAAGACCGCTATAACACACACACATACACAAAAGAACTCCTTACACACATACAGACACACAAACAAGATCTAGATGATAAACAAACAGACAGACAGACAAACAGTGTGATGATGATGCAACAATCCGCGCGGAGTGAGGCGGGCATAATAATTAGGTGTTTGTGAAGGTAGCTGCCCCTCCCTCTCTCCTCCTTCTTTCTTTCCTCTCTCTCTTCTTCCCTCCGTTCCCTCCCTCCTACCCACATCTAAGGAAAAAGAAGAGGAGAAATGGGTAGAGAAGGGGAGGAGGAGGAGGAAGGGAAGGCGGCTGTCGACTAAATTCACACTAATCATCTGAACAACTCATGACCACGCCCATACCCGCCCCCTCATGCCCACTCCGTCACGCCCATATCTACTCCTTCTGGTGTAGTTATGGTGGGATGGTAATGACACTATTTTATTCAAGGTAATGGTGTGTTATTGTGTCGGCCTTTAAATCACTCTACCATATGCAACCCCTATAGCTCTGTGTGTGTGTGTGTGTGTGTGTGTGTGTGTGTGTGTGTGTGTGTTTGTATGTGTGTGTCGCTCTTCCACACACACACATACTTACCTCCCGCTGCCCATCAAACGAAAAAAAAGTAAAAGTGACCATTTTTCTAAGATCCTGGAGGGTTGGTAGAGGTAACTCCCTCCCTCCCTCCCTCCCTACCTGTCTGTCTCTACCTGGCCACCGACCTCTCACCACACCTTCCATATCAACGACAGGTAGCGGTGTAAGACAAGGCTGCCACCAGTGTGTTAACTCGGAAGTGACACATGACACCCGGGGCAGCTTGTGTCAACTGTGTCATGTAAGAGTTGTTGTTTCTGGTGACACGAGCCGACGACACGTTTTAAGATGACACGCGACAGTGTCATATACAGAATGGGGGTCTCTCTCTCTCTCTCTCTCTCTCTCTCTCTCTCTCTCTCTCTCTGACTTTAGAGGACCTTTACGATGACGTCTCGAGATAACAATGAATCCTCAGAGTACTAAAAAGAGAACGATGTACTCAAATACATAACGAAGAAATAGTACTTCACTGACGTGGTATAGCGAGTACTAAAGACGAATTAAGTACTCAAGAACAAGGTGAAAAAGGAGTACTAATTAACAATGCACTCAAGAAAAATGTAAAAAAAAAATAGTACTCCTTGAGGTAGGGAGGAGATTGAGTACTAAACAGAACACCTTCAGAGTACTTACATTAGCGTCCCACCAGGTAGAGCAGAGCCTGAGGGCGGAGTACCCAGTCTGAGTCATAGGAAACTCACATTCGTCGCCAGGGGCTCGTCGGTACAGCCCAGGAGGAATCAGGGTGTGTCCGAACCTGCAGGAGGGAAACACTTCAGGTAATACAAGAGGGAGGCACTTCAGGTAATACAAGAGGGAGGCACTTCACTGTTTACATTATCAGTGGTGGTACTGTTTACATCCTGTCAGCTGATAACACGTGGTACTGTTTACATTGTCAGTTGATAACACGTGGTACTGTTTACATTGTCAGCTGATAACACGTGGTACTGTTTACATTGTCAGCTGATAACACGTGGTACTGTTTACATCCTGTCAGTTGATAACACGTGGTACTGTTTACATCCTGTCAGTTGATAACACGTGGTACTATTTACATTCTGTCAGCTGATAACACGTGACTAAAGGAGGAGGTTGACTCAGATAATAACTTAAAGAAAAAGGAGGATGAGACAGCCAATACCTAACTGACGGAACTACAGGTAAGAGGGGACGCTGGAGGACCTACCTGAAGGCGGCAGACTGGAAGACGTGAGAGATGCCCGGGTGGATGTCAGAGCGGTATCTGGTATAGGGCTCAACACTCTCCCCGAGGAACGCCGGCAAGAACTCGTACATAATGATGTTCTGGAACACAACACGTAAATATGGTAAGGTTAGGTCGGGTTGGGTATTGTGGTTAGGTTAGGTATTATGATGTTATGTTATAGCGAAAACTTAGTAAATATGAAGACAGAACAATGTCAATATAGTTGCCACAGGTAACACAAGTACAAGGCCACAATGAAGAGAATCGTGAGGTAGTTTAATGGTGAATAACCTAACTACTTTTACAACACTGGGAGACACTATACACCCCCCTCCCCCCTCACACACACACACCTTAGGTTAGGTGACCATTCCTTTATACAGAGGAGGACGATGAGCAACACACAAGACACAAATATACAGTCGTACTCACACAACAGGTACAGGGGGTCGTACTCTTCCATACGGGGGGTCGGTGTTGATGGTCCTTGTGTATCGTAGGATAGATAGAGAGAGAGAGAGAGAGAGAGAGAGAGAGAGAGAGAGAGAGAGAGAGACGGGAGGAGAGTAGAGGCAGTAGCGGCAGAAGGTGAGGCAGTAGCAGCAGCGTTACTTAAGTGTTGCAAGAGGAGGTCCGTTGCTGCTACGGCCTTCACGCTCCACTGCTCTCCTCCCCCTCTCTCACCTCCTCCTCCCTTCCCCTTTTCTCACCCTCTCCCCCCTCCCACCACCCTCTCACCCCTCTTCCACCCACCAACCGCCCCCTTCCCCCCTGTTACACTTACTCATAGGCTGACACTTGCCTCCTGTTCTGCTGACGAAAGCCTGGTGATATGCTGACGTGGGGCGCTGACACTAAGTAAAACCTGGGCCAACAATAAGAGCAGAGCTGACAGTTAGCCAATAAAAACCCATCGCGTGGAAGAAGTGCATGAATGAGTACACACACAGAGCAATGAATGGGCGTGTGTGTGTGTGTGAGACAGACAGACAGACAGACAGACAGCGACTCACCTGCAGATGGGCGGTGACAATCCTCCTGGTCCGCTGGAAGATGTCCTCGTCACCCCAGTCTGGATTCTTGGCCTGGATGCGGGAGGCCACCTCGTTGTGCCACCTGAACATCAAAATCCCGAACGCCAATAAAGCAGGGTTCTGATTGGTCCTCTGATCCCCTAACACTACACAGGGATGAGAAAAAGAAAACGACTTCATTAGACACACATAAAGGGGGAATATGGATGAATTTCACACAAGACAGATAGACAGACCCACCCACTACCCCCCATCCACATCCACACAATATACTCACAAAATATCCTCTCCGGGCTGAGGATCTTGAGGACATGTGGCGTAGGATTATTAAACATGGGGATCCTTTCAGTGTTCCGGGGCGGCATGGTAGGATCCCCCGGGGCCGTCCTGAAGGTGCCGTTCTCAAAGGACCTCAGCATGTTGAGTCTGGCCTCACTCATGCTGTACACGAAGCTCCCGTCCAGCCATGACGTCACGTAATTCAGCTGTAAACAACACGAAATATTCTCTAAAAATCCCCATACAAAAATTTTTTTTTACACTGATTCATCCTGCAGTAATAAAAACAGACAACACCAATGAAAGCAGACAGCAGAAAGCAGAAGCAGACATGAAAGCAGACAGTAAACATGAGGCATCTCTTTGGCGTGACTACACAAAGCTGTTTACCAAGGCAGAGGTTGTAACACTGACCTAAATGATGGGAGATGTTGCGTATAGATTGAGCTGAAGCAACACAACAACAACACAATAGCGGGGGTGGAATTATTCTCACCGTGGTTGTCGTACTTAATGGTTTGTTCTCGTTGGTGAGAATAGTCGTAGAAGAGGAAGAAAAAGTAGTTAATTTGCAACACTTATCAACACAAGCAATACTACCAAAAGGAGGTCAGGTCAGGTCAAAGGGGTCAAGTTAGTTTATATTCGAGACAACGACACGTGCAGGAAGAGAGGGGGGGAGGTGTATAACTAATTAATTAACCTGAAACTCCTTAATTACCCAGGTGATTGCCTTTTCCACGGCAGAGGGAGGGAGGGAGGGGGGGGGGGATTACTACTACCCAAACACTACCATTAACACCATCACTACCACCCCTACCACCATCACCTACACGAGTATTACCAAGTTCTACAACTACCACCACTACCATCACTACCCCCACCACTACCACCACCACCACCTACACCAAATGCCTACGTATCCTCCAGCCAACCACAGCATCAGACAACGTAGGAAAAAAATCCACAACACATCGTAAACACCTTCCCAAATATAATGACCCTAATGACCCGTGTTAACACCTGAGAGTAATCAACAGGTGGGCCATCACACTCCTAGGGCCATAATGAGTGTGGATTAAGTATAACATATATTTGGAATAACTAACACGATCAATACATGTTCTAAACGACTGTGTAAGGTTAGGATGTGAGTATCTTTGTCTGTATGTTCCTCAGGTAGATCACCACCACTACCACTACTACCACAATCAAAACCACTACCACCACCACTACCACCATCACACGTACACCACTCAAGACACCGGACGTATTAGCAACAATTACTTCACGGTAGTCGAGTTAACACTGGCATACTAAGTCACTTCGTCCACTACCCCAGCAGGAGACCCGTAGAATACTGAAAGAGTGTGTGTGTGTGTGTGCGTGTGCGTGTGTGTGAGTGAGTGTGTGTGTGTGTGTGTGTGTGAGTGAGTGAGTGTGTGTGAGTGAGTGAGTGAGTGAGTGAGTGTGCGTGTGTGTGTGTGTGTGGATACAGACGACCAAGGTCCTCTGGGTGGTGAGGTAACGTCATAATAACAAGTCTTCCTCAGTCCACGCCACAACACGGGTCTTGAGGGGTTATAAGTCAACAATAATAATGGCAGTTACCCAGAGAGAGAGAGAGCCAAAACTACCACAACTACAACCACCATACCCATACAATGCCTATACAATTCATCAACAACCACACCTTCTACCACAATAACCCACAACTACACCACACACAACCTACAACACCACCCATAACTTAGATCACCACCCACAACCCACACCACACCTTCTACCACAATAACCCCACAACTACACCACACACAACCTACAACACCACCCACAACCCACATCACCCACAACCACAACTTGAAGGTGACCCCAATACCCCCCTGGACTAAGCTATCGTCATCCTTTGCTTTATATTGATTAGAAATTTGCATATGAACACGCTGTAAATATTTATCTTGTAACCTGAAACCTCCTCCTCCCTCCCCTCTCACCCCCTCTTACCTCCCTCCCTCCCCCTCTCTCACCCTCCTTACCTACCTACCTCTCCAATCACCCTCTTCCTCAACACACACCCCCCCCCTCCTAGGTAAGGTTAGGTCAAGTCATTTTAGCTTTGGTTAGATCTGGTTAGGTCAAGTCAAGTTAGATTAGATTAGGTCAGGTCAGGTCAGCTTTAGTATAGTTAGTAATGACCTCAATGAGCGTACACCGCACATTGACAGTCACCCGTAGTTAAACACGACTCTACCTGTATGTGACCCGTAATTTAACACGAATCTACCTGTAAATAACCCGTAAATAACACACGTATGCCTCACATACTGGGTCAAGGCGGGGTAGATCCAGTTCATGTTGTTGTTGTGCTCTTGTTAAGAATAATATTGACATTACGACCAGAGATCATATTTACTCTACCTGGATCCCTGAGTCAATATCATTGAGTCACTACCTGAGTCATTATCACTGAGTCACTGAGTCACTATCATTGAGTCACTATCACTGAGTCACTATCATTGAGTCACTACCTGAGTCATTATCACTGAGTCACTGAGTCACTATCATTGAGTCACTGTCAGTCAAACTATCCTTGAGACATTATCAATCACTAAGTCACTATCACCGAGTCACTATCACTGAGTCACTATCACTGAGTCACCATCACTAGACACTACCTTCACAACACAGCGACAACTGAACACAAACCCATAGTACACCGCCATGTCACACCTTCAACCATAACCTAACCCACATCCCTTCCCCACCCACCCCTCCCCCACACGGCCCCTACCTGTTCGCGGGGGCTGTTAGGGCTCTGGCCGGTGGAGTAGTCGTAGCCAGCTCGGTGGAAGGGCATGAACTTATCCCCCGCACAGTGCTCGTCATACATCTCGTCGCATCTCTCTATGTCGATCTTGTGCATCTCGATGGGGCAGCCGATCTCTGACGCCTGCAGCACCTCTGACGATACTACCTGGCCTGCGGGAGGAGGGAGAGTTAGTTATGGTGAGTTGTATTACTTGACCTGCGGGAAGAAGAAGAAGAGAGAGAGAGAGAGAGAGAGAGAGAGAGAGAGAGAGAGAGAGAGAGAGAGAGAGAGAGGTTAATTACCTGACTCACCTTCACCATTAACCTAAACCTAACCATCAACACCACATTACACAACAATATTTCTCCACGTAAACACACACACACACACACACACACACACACACACTACGTGTCTGCTGTTCAACACCTCAGTTCACATGATCTACGTGTGTAAACATTAATCTGTATGTTCACTGTATGTTCCTTCACCTTTCTCTAATGAAGGCTTTTGTTAAACCACCAATGTATGTAATAAGTCATTTATGTCCAATGTATATTTTCAGCCTTCGGGCTGCAGAACTTTTTCAATAAACCGTTTATTATTATTATTATTACAGCAGCTAAAATACCTTAATTAAATACACACCATTTTAACTAACACCAACACACATACACAGGTAAACACACGAACTACGTCACCTCAAGAGTTAATGAAGACCATTTACCTGTACTTTAACAACTAAAAATATCTCTGGCGTCTTTAACATGTGGAGGGAAATTTACGTTCGACAAGTGTTCAATTATTTATACAAGACATTTTTATGATTTAACGAACAGATGACCTCGAATGATGGTATCTTGTGCATGACGGCAGATGATGCACCACTCTGTATGTGATCCCACGGTGTGATAAGAGCCTTATGACACACCCTGTATATGACACACCGAGTGAGAGCCATATGACAAGTTATTCTCACCTCCGTCTGTGACTCGGCAACAGAAGGATCGATATATCCAGAGGTGAAATTGACCAAGTTCTGATGTTGACAAGGCGTAGGTTAGGTTAGGTTAGGTTAGGTTAAAATAGTGAAGACGGTGGGAAGGGAGGACGATAGTAATAATAAAAGGTTGAACAAAATAATAAAAGGTTGAACAAAATAACAATAGGTTGAGAAAGACCCTTAAGTTATGTAGAGCGGAAGGAACTGGTACTATTATCATAACGCTGCAGGGAGAGACGCTGAGTACATAAAAGATGAGTACGTACACACACACACGCACACAGGAGGCATAAATAAAACAAGACCCAGAAATAAATATATACAAGTTTTTCTTGACCCGGACGGTGTGAGAGTGAGCCCACCTTCGTGTGTCATGAACGAGGTTGAGGGACCTTATGACCTGAGAGGAGGAGGAGGAGGAGAAGAGAAGAGGGAAGAGGGAAGAGGGGGAGAAGAAGAGGAGGTGGAGAAACGTAACCTTTAAGCCAAGATATTAAACGTATCTTCCTAAATTAAGTCGATCATCACCATCATCACCACTATCACCATCATCACCACCATCACCACTGTCATCATCACCACTATCACTATCACCACTATCATCATCACCACTATCACCATCACCACTATCACCATCACCACTATCACCATCACCATCACCACTATCACCATCACGTATCTGTTCACTACAGGATAAAGACCTTCTTTCTACAGACCCTTAACCTCCACTACGCCCCTGTAAACCTAACCTAACGTAACTTAACGTAACCTAACGTGACCTAACCTAACCTAAACCTAACCTAACCACAAAAAACGGATCAGGACAGACCATTGACCCACGGGATACTGATGTAATTATTCCTTCTTACTCTTTCAAGGCTGAGTTCAGGACTTAACCCACGACCAAACAGAAATTAATAACAACAATAATAATAACAATAACATCAACAACAACAACAACAACAACAACAACAACAACAACAACAACAACAACAACAACTACATCAATAACAACAACAATAATAATAACAATAATAATAATAATAATAATAATAATAATAATAATAATAATAATAATAATAATAATAATGTCTTACTTATGGAGGAAATTTGTCATAGAACTCAAGGGGTCAAAGACATAGTACTCAAGGGGTCAAAGACATCGTACTCAAGGGGTCAAAGACATCGTACTCAAGGGGTCAAAGACATAGTACTCAAGGGGTTAAGACATAGTACTCAAGGGGTCAAAGACATCGTACTCAAGACTAACATGGTCCTCCCGGGTGCTAAGGGACAGACAAACAGAAGTAAAACAAACTCAAACATCGTCAGCCTCAAACACCTTCGTCCTCACACCATTAACGTAAAGTGGATCTAAGGAGACGAGAGGAATGTGTGTTGTGTAAGTATTCATCTCAGACCTGTGTGTCGGAGGGTGTGGTAGTGTGATGGTGAGGGGTGGGGATGGTGGTGGTCATAGTGAGGGTAGTGGTGGTGATAGTGGTAGTAGTGATGATAGTGGTGGTGATGATAGTGGTAGTAGTGGTGGTGATAGTGGGGGTAGTGGTGGTCATAGTGGTAGTAGTGGTGGTGATAGTGGGGGTAGTGGTGGTCATAGTGAGGGTAGTGATGGTGATAGTGGTAGTAGTGATGATAGTGGTAGTAGTGATGATAGTGATGGTGATGATAGTGGTAGTAGTGGTGGTGATATTGGTAGTAGTGGTGTTAGTGGTGAGGGAGGGAGGGAGGGAGGGAGGGAGGGGGAGCGTCAAATTTCATGTCGAAAGTCGAGGTTAAGTGAATCTGGGGCAACAATCATTTCATAATATAAGCAGCAGTGAGACGAGTTTTGTGCGTGGCTAACTTCACCACACACTACCCCCACACACCACCCACACCCTCCACCACCACACTACCACCCCCACACACTACCACCACCACATACTGCCCTCAACACTACCATCACACATTATCCCACACACTACCACTACACTATCCCCACACCGCCCCTCTCACACACTATCACCACCACACATTACCCCTACTGCTCCCCACACCACCACATCCCCTACCACACTGCCCTCACACCACACACACAAATATATCAGCAAATGCAAAAAATTACTTCGAATCACACACACACACACACACGGAGGGGGAGGGGGGGGAGGTCATTTAAATCTGCCTTACAAAGCGATGTTATGCATGGAAAGAGGCCAAGTCTAGTGCTGACGCCTTAAGAGCCACACCTGTTCGTCCCCCCCCACCACATCTTCTCACCACACCTCACCCCCCTCCCCCACTTGCCAACCACCCCACTATACTATTATCACCCTTCTGACCTGCTTACTTAAGGGGGAAAATGATCATCAAAAATGCCCCTTCGCTTTTGACGTCATCCTCACTGTCATTATGTGGCGACAGATAGACAGGTAAGGGAGGTCAGACATTACCTGTCTACCTGTCCTCCTCTATCATTAACCTCAAGTGTCTGTGTCCATCACCAGTTCAACGATCTCAACCACAACCCCCCCCCCCTCACTACAACCACGACATCACATCAACCAACATACAACCACAATCACCAACCACCCACACAACAACCACCAACCACATAACCCCTACCTGCGCAAGTCTGTCTCTCCTCAGGGGGTCGCTACACCGCGTATCATCCTCACAGCAAGATACCACCACCTGCACCACACGTATCAATCGTCACTACTTTCACCTCCACCACTATCACCACCACTATCACCACAATCACCACCACAATCACAACCACCACCACAATCACCACCACCATCTACCAGACTAATTTAAATTATGCACTCAATCTTATCCTGAACTTCCACCACCTAATCAATCAACACCTCAGGTAATTTCAGAGATTCACACCTGTCCCAATGTCAATAAATTGTAACTTACTCTTAAATAATAATTAATGCAACATATACCTTCTTTAACTCCTTTATAAACTCGTAAAGTCAAATAAAAACAATAATAGTATCTCTTAATGATGGTTCAAGAGTGATGTAATTGTAAGAGGTGATTAAATATGAGGTGTGATTAGGTAGTTGTGTGGTAGTTAAGGAGGTGTGATTATTCTTGTGATTAGGTATTAGTTTGTGAGGTATCTCCCAGCCTTGGTCTCCTAGGTAGTGAGATATCTCCTAGTCTTCGTCTCCCAGCTGGTGATATATCTCACAGGTAAGAGACGAGAGGTAGGAGATATCTCACTACCTGGGAGACAAGGACTAGGAGAAAACAGTTACTCCTCCTCAACTTCCCTTGGGAGAAAAACTCAACTCGTCCATACTTAAGGTCGAGGGTCGTTGGCCTCTCCCCTCTCCCCTGCAGTCTACCTGTGTTTCAGTCTACCTGTTTCAGTCTACCTGTGTTCCAGTCTACCTGTGTTCCAGTCTACCTGTGTTCCAGTCTACCTGTGTTCCAGTCTACCTGTGTTCCAGTCTACCTGTTTTCCAGTCTACCTGTGTTCCAGTCTACCTGTGTTCCAGTCTACCTGTGTTCCAGTCTACCTGTGTTCCAGCTCCACCTGTGTGTTCCAGTCCACCTGTGTCTCCTGTCCAGTATACCTGTGTTCCAGTACCTGTGTTTCACTACCTGTGTCTACCTGTGTTCCAGTCTACCTGTGTTCCAGTCTACCTGTGTTCCAGTCTACCTGTGTTCCAGTCTACCTGTGTTCCAGTCTACCTGTGTTCCAGTCTACCTGTGTTCCAGTCTACCTGTGTTCCAGTATACCTGTGTTCCAGTATACCTGTGTTCCAGTATACCTGTGCTTCAATTCATCTGTGCTTCAATATACCTGTGGAGCCCATAGAGATACTGACAGTGTATTATGAAACAGATTCTGAGTACGTACACTGAAACAGAAACAGTGTAGCATTTGTACAGTGGGAGATGAAAGCACAATGTAACACTAAGTCAGCGTAACACACATGTCCAGTACATAATTACAGGTGTAGGCAACAGGTGTAGACAACAGGTGTATAGGTAACAGGTGTAGACAACAGGTGCATAGGCAACAGATGCGGTACCTTGACCTAATAAGCCAATGGGGGTTGTGGCCTGTTAATTAGAAGCAGCTCACATGGGGGTAGGGGAGGTGGTGGGGGGAGTAGGGGAGGTGGTGGGGGGAGTAGGGGAGGGGGGGTGCAGAGCTCTTGAGTCCACCATACCTTCACGTACCACTCAAATGTGTACCTGGCCTACTACTGTACTACTATCAACCATCCTTCTCCATTCTCCCTCTCCTACTCCTCCCACTCAATCCCTCTCCACAACAATTAAAACAGCAAACATAAGAACGAGAGACAGACAGACACAGGTGAATGTTTTGAAAAGTAAACAATAAACTCACCTGAAAGTTACCTGATAAGATTGTGGAACACCTGAACACTACTGCTTCTACTACACTCCCCTAACCTAACCTAAACCTCCCCTCCCCTAACCTAACCTCACCTAACCTAACCTACCCAAAAGAAGACTATTTTTAGCACCATATATCCAGCTTGAGTCAAACAGAGTACAATACCCACCATCTCCATCACTCGTACTCAGATTAACTCATTGTACTCATCAGGAGATTACCATCGTACTCATGGGATTAAGTTCATTACATTATACTCAAAGTTGATTCATTATAGAGAGGAGATTAACCTAGATTAGTGTGGGAGTATTACATTATAATTTAGTGTGGCATCAAATGTTTCTACCTCAAGACCATCACACTAGCTCATACCCCTACGGTCACGTCAGCTGATGCAGGAGGAAAACAGCTGATGTACCCAAACAAAGGGATAAATCAGCTGATGGAGGAGGGAAACAGCTGATGTACAAAAACAGTGCCACAAATCAGCTGATGCTGCCTTGAAGTATCTGCCCACCACCACTGAGAAAAGGACGGGTTGGGGGCTAGGGGCTAGGGGAGAGATAGGGAAGGGGTGATGTGGGGGAGGAGGTGAGGGAAGGGAGAACGGGAAGGGGTATAAGGTGAGGTGGAAGGGGAGGGGGGGTCAGCCTTGAGAAGCCTTGTAACAGTAAAGAGAGGAAGACAGTCTTACATGATGGCCAAGTGAACAACAGTTATCATACAGCAGCCATCCACTTACACGGTGACGTCACGCGGTACACACACACCACGTACCTATTATTATTATTATTATTATTATTATTATTATTATTATTATTATTATTATTATTATTATTATTATTATTATTATTATTATTATTATTCCCCGGAGCCTTACAGTATATTCGTCAGTTGTCGTTGTTATCGTTTGAAAAAAGTAATCGACCTTCCAGCCTGAGTCCTCAACTAAACACAATGAACGGGAAATTCCATACAAATAAATATTCACAAACACAAAGAGAACTGGTTATAGGAGACAGGCTGTACAGTATATTGATACATATATACATTAATACACCAGAATACATACACGCAACAGTATACTCACGAATACATAATGCATACATATGAATTAATATATGTTTAAGCCTCTATCTGACATTTTTTTTTATTATGAACATTAATTGATAACACACACACACACTAATATACTCTGTTAGGTTAGGTTAGGGTACATTAGACTGGGTTAGGTTAGGTTAGGGTACATTAGACTGGGTTAGGTTAGGTTAGGGTACATTAGACTGGGTTGGGTTAGGTTGGGTTAGGTTCTGGCAAGACTGTGAACCACTTAACCAGTCACCGCCGCCTCCTGGACACACCCTATGAACTAATTAGGCAGAAGGCTGGTAGAGAAATGTTTACATTCCTCACCTTGAACTTTGTACACACGACCTGGGAGTCCCACAGTGCCGGCGACACACCCACACCACTCTTAACACCACTATAACACCACTATACGCTACACTAACACCACTGTACACTACACTAACACCACTGTACACCACTATACACTACACTAACACCACTGTACACCACTATACACTACACACACACAGTCACTTGATCAATGGCCAAATAAAGACGATGCTGAAACCTGATCCATAATCCAGACCTATAACCTGTGATACTTGATACTGAACACACACACACACACACACACACACACACACACAACACATCGTGAAATATATCTGGTCCAGTCAACTAGGTACACACATCTCTTCGTCTCAATTTGGTTGTGAGGTGATCTCTCTCTCTCTCTCTCTCTCTCTCTCTCTCTCTCTCTCTCTCTCTCTCTCTCTCTCTCGTTATTTTATGTTATGTTATTTAAGTGATACACATTATCGTTGTTTTGATACATTATTATTATTATTATTATTATTATTATTATTATTATTATTATTATTATTATTATTATCATCATCTCTATTATGTGACCGCTCGACGTTTGCATATTTAAAGTATGTCTGGAGTGTGGAGGCCAAGTGGATAAAACGCTCGCCTCCAGTTCTAAAGTTCATTGGTTCGACGCTATCATCCACCAGAGGGCTCTTATCATCCACCAGAGGGCTCTATCATCCACCAGAGGGCTCTATCATCCACCAGAGGGCTCTATCATCCACCAGAGGGCTCTATCATCCACCAGAGGGCTCTATCATCCACCAGAGGGCTCTACTAACACACAGTCACGCTCTCAGATCTGGGTCCTGTGATAATTTCCTTCACTACACGATAATATTTTGTCTAATGTCTTGATCTGAACGAGGTCACACGGGGCTTAAGTGACGAGGCAAGAGTTGAAGTAAGTGAAGACAGCGAGGGGGAGAGGGAAGGGGGAGAGGAGGAAAAAGGGGAGGTGGAAGAAGGAGGGGAGGTGGAAGAAGGAGGGGAGGTGGAAGAAGGAGGGGAAGGTGGAAGAAAAACGGGAAAAATATGAGGAAAACCCAGAGGAAATTGAAAAATTGTGAGGAGGAGGAGGAGTGCGAAGAGGAGGAAGAGAAAGAGGAGAAGAAGAAGAAAGAGGAGGAGAGCGATATCCACTAACCATCGGGAGAAAGTGACCAGAGAACATTTGACATTATCAGGAGACCGAACTGGACACATATGTTGTGCCTCCACCACCCTACACCACCTACACCACCCTACACCACCTACACCATACCCCACCCTACACCATCAATACCACCTACCCCACCCTACACCCACACCATCAATACCACCTACCCCCCCACCTAAGACAGACAGACCAACAGACTAATCAGACCAAGACACAGACAGACAGCTAAGCAAAAGACAAACCAAACATTATCGCTACACCCTCCTATCAACCATGCAGTACAAACAAACAAACAAACAAACACAAAATTTGCTTAGCACACAAACACAACTAAAACAAACATAACTGGAGGTAACTTTCAACTCCGGGTCGTAAAAACAAGCACACCGGTAAGAAGAGTCGATGATGACAATGACACGTAAATATGTGCTGTCAGCTGGAGGTGGACAGACACAGGAGGGCGGGCGGGTAGACAGGGAGATACAGACAGACGGGTGGGCGGGCAGAAACAGACGGACAGAGTAGGGAGGGAGAGAGAGAGAGGATGTCAAAGCAGGAAAAAATATACATCAAAACACACACACACACACATTACTGTAATATATATGTAATGTCTTGTGTAATAATGAACTTTAAACCATTGCAACTGCCCCATTATGCTGTCTGGTGCACTGTTATCTCACCTATAGTGGCGCAAGTACGAAGGGGTGGGGTGGGGTGTGGGGTGGGGTGTGGGGTGGGGTGGGTGGGAGGGTGGGGTGGGGCGGGTGGGGCAGGGGTGGGGCGGTTAGGCTTAACTCTTGACCCGCGATAAAACTGAAATATATTCCCAATGCTCACCAGTAAATTATTATTACTATTGTTGTTGTTGTTATCATCACCATCATCACCATACGGAACAATAGCCACCAGACACTCACCACCACACAGAACAATAGCCACCAGATACTCACCATCATCACCACACAGAACAGTAGCCACCAGACACTCACCATCATCACCATCATCACTATAAAAGCACAATAGTCACCAGACACTCACCATCACCACCATCATCACTATAAAAGCACAATAGTCACCAGACACTCACCATCATCACCATCATCACCATACAGAACAATAGCCACCAGACACTCACCATCATCACGCCCCGGCAACCATAGACTATCACCATGGCGCCTCAGGAGGTCTCAATTTCACCATCATCAACACCGTCCACGCCCTGTCGTATACCTTAAGACATCTGTCACTACCACGCCTCCTGTCACCACGCCACCTGTCACCATCATGCCACCTCTCACCACGCCACCTGTCACCACGCCACCTGTCACCACGCCACCTCTCACCACACCATCTGTCACCATCACGTCATGTCACCACACCATCTGTCACACCACCACTTACTACGCCTCCTGTCATCACGCCCCCCCCACCAGACTGGTTAGGTTAGGCACCCCAGGAGAGAGAAACAGACAGAAAGAATACCAAAGACAGAAAGATATAGACGGTGAGAAAAACAAAAGGAGACAGAAAGATACAGAGAAACAGAAAATTACATAGGAGACAGAGAAAGAAAGAGACACAAACAGACAGACAGATAGACAGACAAGAGAGACAGAAACAAGACAGAGGGTACTTACCGAAGAAGGCCAGCATAGCAGTACGGTTCAAGGTGGAGGCGAGACCATCACGCCCCTTCATGAACGCCTCAGAGAGCTTCCTGGAGGAGGGTCTATCCTGCCCAGCCATCATATACACCCCGTCGGCATAGCTGGCGGGGGTCTTACGCGTCAGACGGGACTCTGTCGGGGTGTACACGGGAATTTAATTTAGTGTACATGGGAATTTCATTTAGTGTACATGGGAATTTCATTTAGTGTACATGGGAATTTCATTTAGTGTACATGGGAATTTCATTTACTGTACATGGGAATTTCATTTAGTGTACATGGGAATTTCATTTAGTGTACATGGGAATTTCATTTAGTGTACATGGGAACTTGAGTTAGTGTACACGTAAACTTGAGTTAGTCCACTGGTGTTTACATTAACATAACCTAACCTGACCTGACCTGTTATAATTGGGCATAGATAAACAAAAATAGAAATAACACAGAAAAACAAACAAAAACAACCAAACATGGACAAACACAGACTAAAACAAACACACAAACATCTCATCCCAAACACAAACATTACTCAATAACCAAATAATTCAATTAATAATTTAAATTAACCAATTATATAATTAACATAATACATCCAGGAATACACTAAAAAGTTACTGAATCTATTAAGTGAAATAAAATAACCAATTAATAAAACAAATAAAACTCAACAAACAAATCCATTAAAACACCGTACTCAAAGGGTTAAAACATCGTCCTCATAGGGTTAAAACACCGTACTCATAGGGTTAAAACACCGTACTCAAAGGGTTAAAACACCGTTCTCAAAGGGTTAAAACACCGTACTCAAAGGGTTAAAACACCGTTCTCAAAGGGTTAAAACACCGTACTCAAAGGGTTAAAACACCGTCCTCAAAGGGTTAAAACACCGTCCTCAAAGGGTTAAAACACCGTACTCAAAGGGTTAAAACACCGTCCTCAAAGGGTTAAAACACCGTACTCAAAGGGTTAAATAATCATCGTCAAAGGGTTAATTAAGCAGCTTGTTAATCTAAACTAAAAATCAATAAGTGAAATCAAATCATAAAGTTAAATAAACAATTAAAAAATAATCCCCTTCACGTAGTCTGAGTTTTAATATTATCTTACCACATCGACGACACACAAATGCCAGTCAGTGACCTCAGCCAAGTGGGGGTTCATTCATCGAAGACACTTGAGGTCAAAGGTCAACCCATCCCATCTCCTGTCCCGTCACCACCCACCACTACTACCACCCCCTACCACCACGCGCCACCACACTTCCACCCACTACCACCACACCACCACCCCCCCACCACCACCTTGACCTTTCATAGAGACATTCCCTCCCTCACTCCCTCCCCATCCTTCTTTCCCCTCCCCATTTCTCCCCCCACTTGACGCACAGCCTCCCCCCTGTACACACAACACTCCCACCTTGGCCCCTCCCAACACCTATCCCTGGGCACAACACTACAACAGGAGAGAGCCACACAGACGTACCACAGAGAGAGGAGCCACATTGAACAGAAGAAGGGCCACAACAGCAACAGTAAGCCAGGGGTAGCAAGAAATGAGTCCTAACAGAGAGCCACATGAACAACAGAAGAGCCACAACAACAGAGCCCACAACAGAGCCACATGAACAAGAGGAGCCACAACGGAAGCATCACGGCAAGAGTAACCAGAGGAGGGCCCCCTCCCGCCAAAAGTGATAGGAAATTGGCCGGTAAGTTGTCGCCCCCCAACAAACACCTACCTGTGGATCGTGACCACCCCCCTCTCCCCTTCCAGAAACCTCCCTGACTCCCCCCCATCCAAAGGCCCCCGGACCCCTCTCTCCCCTCCCAAAGACCACCCCGGACAGCCAGTGACCTCTCGTTGCGTGATTAAGGTGTGTCGACTGTTTGACGCAGGAATGAGGTTAGAGGAGGTTAGGTTAGGTTTAGGTTAGGTTGAGGTTGAGGTTGAGGTTAGGTTAGGTTTAGGTTAGGTTTAGGTTGAGGTTAGGTTCAGTATGTCTGTAATTTCTCTTCCCTATGAAACCTCGATCGTGATAGAGGTGTGTCAGCTGCCAGTAACAATATTGTGATGGAATAAAATAGGGCTTTAGGAGGCGTCTCGGCCATGATAGGTGTACCGATGGGCAGTAATGACAGGTGTGAGGGAGACAGGTGGGCTGTTATCAATCCTTCCATCCTCGCCGAGACTTAGATCTGCTACCATTATCCTTAACCCTTTGAGTCCTGGAGGGTTAAATCATCGTCCTCAAAGGGTTAAATCATCGTCCTCAAAGGGTTAAATCATCGTCCTCAAAGGGTTAAATCATCGTCCTCAAAGGGTTAAATCATCGTCCTCAAAGGGTTAAATCATCGTCCTCAAAGGGTTAAATCATCCTCATCAAAGGGTTAAATCATCGTCCTCAAAGGGTTAAATCATCCTCATCAAAGGGCTAAAACATCGTCCTCAAAGGGTTAAATCATCCTCATCAAAGGGTTAAATCATCGTCCTCAAAGGGTTAAATCATCCTCATCAAAGGGTTAAATCATCCTCATCAAAGGGTTAAATCATCCTCATCAAAGGGTTAAATCATCCTCATCAAAGGGTTAAATCATCCTCATCAAAGGGTTATAACATCGTCTACCTGGCCATCACACACTCCCCCTTACCTGGTTTACCTATACACCTGGCCAGGCTCTTAACACCTTGTATATCACTTAGCCAACACACCTTTATAACGGCGACACCCTCACTACGCACACTTTGATATAGCGGACTTTTTCATCTCTAAATAGTTCGTTAGATGGAGGGTTTCACATCTAACAGACCCTCGATATAACGGACTTCCACCTCTACATAGTTCGTTAGATGGAGGGTTTCACATCTAACAGACCCTCGATATAACGGACTTTCCTCCCCATGTAGTCCGTTAAATAGAGGTAAAGAGGAATATTTCCCCATGCGTGACTAAATCTTCCCAGAGAACCTGAGCAAGATTCCATGATTGCAGGGCACGATGTTGCAAGTTGATATCCTGTTGCAAATACCTTAGTAATACCTTAGTGGGTGGGTGGGTGGGTGGGTCGGGGGGTGGTGTGGGAGTGGGAGGGTGGGGGGAGTCGAATCTACGCCCGGCTGACTCACTCCATACTCGTTCAAGTCTCGTAAAACCAAATTACTTATCGGGGAAAAAACTGTGGAAATCACTTTTTGTTTTTACAGTAAATTGTAATTATTTTATAAATTATTTAGTAAGGAACAATTAAGTGGATTATTATTATTACTGTATTATTATTATTATTATTATTATTATCATCAAAGCTACAATCTGTTTAGTGTTATAACGATTCACGGTACGATAATTCAGTACAGGTATAATTATTTAAGGGGTGGTATAGTAAATTATCAAAACTATAATTAATAACAGTATGATGATGATGATGACGTAACCTTTTCTGGACTTCACCCTACCTGTACTGTACACCCCACCTGGCCACCCAACCTGAACAATTTACCTGTACCCTCTACCTGTACAATCTACCTGTACATTCCCACCTGTTCCCTCTACCTGTACGCCCCACCTAGTACCTCCCTACCTACAAGTACATGCAAGTGATCAAGGATGTTGCACTATTAACGTGTTGCACAAGGTGAAGGAAGAGGCTGGTGCTTGCAACACAAGGTAAAGCTGCAGAAACGTGTGGGTAATGAACGTGACCCCAACACCCGGAGTACAGGGGAACGGTGGAGTGGGAGAGGGGGTAGAGAGTGGGGGTGAGCCTGGGGAAAGGAGGGAGAGGGTAGGGGCAGTGGGGGAGGTGGGGTAGTGGGGGAGAGAGGGGCAGTGGGGGAGAGGGTAGTGGGGGAGGGTAGGGGTGGTGGGAGGGTGGGCGTAGTGGGGGAGAGGGTAGAAGGTTGGGGGTAGAGGTGGGGGAGAGGTAGGGGCAGTGGGGAGAGGATAGGGGTAGTGGGGGAGAGATTAGGGGTAGTGGGGGAGGGTAGGGCAGTGGGGAGGATAGGGGTAGTGGGGGAGAGATTAGGGGTAGTGGGGGACGGGGGAGGGAAGAGGAGAGAGAGAGAGAGAAGATGGGGAAAGGTAAGAAAGAGGGGAGAGGGAAGAGGAGGAAGAAGGGTGAGAACTAGAATAGAAGGGAGAAAGGGGAAGAGAAGGAAGGAAGGAGAAAAAGGGAATACAAGAAAGGAAGGAAAGAAGGAAGGTGAAAAGACAAAACACATAATAACAACAATAATTAGGGGGGGGGTTGCAAGGTAGTGTCGCGCTGACTAGCAATTGTTCTTATTATCTACAATTATTACCACCACGAGCATCATAAGTAGAAGGAGGAGGAGAAGGAGACTATTATTATAACTTCCTCCCCTTCCTTCTTTCCTATCACGTCATTGAGGTCTGGGGCATCCATCATGATTAACACGACACACACACACACTCACTCACACACTCACTCACACACACACTCACACACTCACTAACACACACACACACACACACACACTGATGGAAGTAAGAAAGGCAGTGGTCATTAGGAGTCATTTTCCTGACACCAAAAAAAATATAAGGCGATTGTTAGTAGTAATTTTCTTGAAAGCAGATACAGTGGTTGTTAGTGTGTGTGTGTGTGTGTGTGTGTGTGTGTGTGTGTGTGTGTGTGTGTGTGTGTGTGTGCGAAAATTAAACACCTTAGCCATAATACCTTCACCACTACCACCCCGCCTCACCACCATCTCTCACACCTTAAAACCACCCCTTTTTCTCGGTTCTATTCACCATTCATATTATTCAAGAAAAGAGACTCAGTTAGATACGGATCTTTCCACATGATATAATTTAGAAAGTGGAGGAGGAGCAACACACACACACACACACACACACACCCCTTACACACACACGGACAGACAGACAGACACACCTTTACCTGAGTTGGCCTCGCTCACCACCGCACCGTTTACATGTATTAATACTTTCACCCCCGACCATCATCCTCACTACGACAAACACACGATCATAATGTTGATAATGTGTAGAGAAGCCACAGCCGTCAGTCACCATTATACGCGGGTCGAGAGGTGTGTGTGTGTGTGTGTGTAGTGTGTGTGTAGTGTGTGTGTGTGTGTGTGTGTAGAGTGTGTGTGTGTGTTAATAGTGAGTGTCTGGGGTTAGGTTACATTATCATCGTCACTATTACCGCTATCACCACCAAATTCAACACCACTACTATCACCACCATCATCATCACCATCCCAACAACACACGTCCCATCCATAATCTATTGTTCATGCAAATACTACACATTAAATAAAATACCTTCGTAACATTGATTCACAACGCTTCATCTCAACGCCTCACCTCAACGCCTCATCTCAACGCCTCATCTCAACGCCTCACCTCAACGCCTCATCTCAACGCCTCACCTCAACGCCTCATCTCAACGCCTCACCTCACCTCAAACGCCTCCCATCTCAACACCTCACCTCAGCACGCCTCACATCCACTTCCCACCTCAACGCCTCACCTCAACGCCTCCTCCTCACCTCCTCCTCAGCGCCTCATCTCAGCACCTCACCTCCTCACCCCAGCCTCCACCTCCCCTCCTCACCTCACCTCCTCCCTCACCCCAACACCTCAAAGCCTCACCTCAACGCCTCACCCCAACGCCTCACCTCAACGCCTCACCCCCAACGCCTCACCTCACCGCCTCACCTCAACACCTCACCCCAACACCTCACCACCGCCTCACCTCCTCACCCCTCATCCTCAACACCTCACCTCAACGCCTCACCTCAACTTACCCTCAGCCTCATCTCCAGCCTTCTCAACGACAGCTTTTTAACAATGATTCATCGTAGCTCAATGATTCATAGTGGCTCTAACAATGATTCACAAAGCTTTACATCGGTCCACTGTACACAATAACTAGAACCACCCCCACCCTTCCCCCACGTCCCCCTCCCCCTCTCACCCCTCTCCCACCCCCCCCTCCCCACTCCCACCCTCTCCACGCCCCCCCCTCCCCCCACGTCCCCCCTCTCACCCTCCCCACGTCCCCCTCCCCACGTCCCCCCTCTCACCTCCTCCCCCCACACCAACGCCATAATCAACAGTGCTCATCAGTGTGACCAAAACAACTTGAGAGACTGTGAGGACACCATTTGTCAACAGACGGACGGGCAAACGGACGGACAGGGCAGAAAGGTGTGTGTGTGTGTGTGTGTGTGTGTGTGTTACTACTAAAAAAGAAGACGCGATTTTATCTTTACACCTCAAGGGACCTTTAACTCCTCTAGTCATCCTGTGTCAGAGAAGAGGAGGAGGAGAAGGATGCAGGAGGAGGAGGAGGAGAGAGAAAAGAAATAGCCAGTGGTCGGTGGCCTGTGATCCAATTCACCAGTGTTGAGAAACTTCATCTTATCACTAGCGGCTATTTTTTATGACATTAATAGCCAGCAGAGTTTCACCCATCATGCTCAGGTCGTCAACACAAGAACCAGTTTTTGGGTGTTGGAGGAAAACCTGAGGCCAACACCGCCACCACCACCTCCTCCTCCTCCTTCACCACCACACCTCCTACAGGATATTAAGTGACCATCAAGGACAGTTATAGACGGTAAACAGGACTCTCCACGGCCTGTACCTTTAATTAACCCCCTCATAAGGTAGTCTGGGGTGAGATACACTGTGGAGTATAAGCCTTGCCTCTTGTCTTCGGAGCTGGCCGGCCCTTGAGTCACCTGGGTAAGATTTACGGTGTAGTAAAAGCTGTCGCCAACACAACCACCTCACCATAAAGGTAACGAGCTGTATAACCCAGTGTCAAGGAACCCAGGAAGACCGGATAACTCACTAACTGCACCGCAACACTATCAGAAAATTGATTAACAACTCAATTATTGCTGCACAGGTAAACAGAGGTGAACTACATTGAGAAATTTTTGTCCATAGTTTTATCCTTAACCCGGGGATCGAACCCTAGACCACTCACTTTCGAGGCGAGCATGCTGACCACTACACAACAGGTCGCTAAGTGTGTGTGTGTGGTAGAAAATACCCTTAACTAGACCTTACTAACGCTCATAAACACACAGAGATAAACACTAAACACGATGGCCGAGAAAAAATAAAACAGTGAGGGAGACAAGAGACTGACCTGCAGAACCCCAGCCAGGGTGAGCCAAGTTGTTGTACCAGCCGTCATAACGCTGCTTCTCTATGTAGCTCTCCGGGATATCTGAAACACAAACACACACATTATGGCCACTGTAAACAACAAACTGTAAATAATGTAAACAAAACATACACAGAGTAAACATGTTATGATTATTACGATATACACATCACAGACAATTTTATAAAACAACAGAAATATACAAATTTCGGACCATATGAAGATTAGCCTCTGATGAACCACTCTCATGTTAACCTAACCTAACCAAGCCTAAAACTAACCTAAGTTATCCCACCCTAAGTTAACTCACCCTAACTTAACTCATCCTAATCTAACCCAACCCAACTATTACGACTGGCACCCATTAGAACCGTACCCAATCCTATTCGCTAGGTTAGGTTAGGTTGAGTTCCACCTCCCCCTCTTCCCTTTTCCCCCTCCTCCTATCCTCCCCCTCCTCCTATCCTCCCCTCACCTACCTCTCTCACCCCCTCCCCCCCATCTCTCAGGAGTCAGCCAGAAGACCTCTATGTCAAGTTGCTTAACACTAATGACGAACAGACGCGGTGGTAACGACACTTAAACTACACTACTAATGACACACTAAACGAGGCAATTGGCGCTGAGCTCTCACTTAACGACCCTCGGGGCGCTTAAGTAACGTAACAGTGCCTCGCTAACTGCCTATTGGTGCCCCGATCTTAAATCACCGCCTTGTAGTTGAAGACAATTTAAGACAGTTTATAGTGGTGGTTAAGTCTTGTGATAAATATTAATTAACAAGAGAGGAAAGACTAATAACAGGTCGTGTAGTGGAGAGGTTAGGGTGTTGTGTGGAGGCGTAGTTGTGGTGTGGTAGTGTGTGGTAAAGGTGTGGTAGTGATGGTGTGGTACTAGTGGTAGTGTGTGGTAGCTCCCTCCCCCACAAATACTTCCCCTCTCCAACACCTTCTCCCTCCCAGCTCCACCACCAGCACCTACCCTCCCCCTCCTCCCATCCACAAACACCCCCTACCCCTTCCAAACGCCCCCTTCCCCTCCTCCCAGCATCCTCTTCCACCAAACACCCACCTCTATACCTCCCCTCCACCAACACCCCCCCCCAACCACCCCCCTCCACAAATCCCCCCTCCTCCTCCATCCCCCCCGTCATGGCTCCAACTTCCCTTTTACTTAATCTTGAGTTATACAGAACAAACAGGTAAACATTGCTTGGGATGTTTACCTACAGACAAGCAAACTCATTAATGCAAGGTCCACTACCTCCCGGAACCTAACCTAACCCTAGAGAATTCAGCCTTAACCTAAATTAATCTAATGTAACCTAACCTTAACCTAAACTAACCTAAATCAACCTGACTTTAACCTAACCTTAATCTATACCAACCTAATTTAACCTAGCTTAAACCTAACCTAACGCAACTTAACCTAACTCATCCCAGTCCCATTGCCTACACGTGTTACTTAAAATATAACAGCCTCGAACCAGGAACTCAAATCCAGTATTGAGACCATTAACCACTCAGCCACGATTTCTTTCTTCATACATACAGACATTGAATTGAAGTTCCTTGTACCGTGACCAGACTAGGCAAGGTGATGATTGGGCAATGCTGTATGACCAGGAAGTAGTAAGATACCCCGGTAGTTAAGTAACCCCGGTAGTTAAGTGACCCCGGTAGTTAAGAGGTACGATTGTTAGATAACCCCGGTAGTTAGGTCATGAATAGGTCAGGTTAGGTGAGGCTAGATTAAGTTAGGTTAGATCAGAGGTAGGTACAAATTAGGCAAGGCTAGGTTAGATTAGGAATAGGTTACGTTACGTTAAGCTAAGTTAGGGGTAGGTCAGGTCAACTTAGGTCAGGAATAGGTCACGTCAGGTTAGTCTAAATTAAGATAGGCAAGATCAGGTATAGGACACGTTAGATTAGGTTAGGTCAGATCATAAATAGGTCACGTTAGCTGAGGTCAGGTTAGGTTAGATAAACGTAAGATCCATCATTACTAATAATTAGGTTTTATTATACGAGAATGGAGTCAATTTATCATATGTCAACAACTAAAATAATGGAGAGAGAGAGAGAGAGAGAGAGAGAGAGGACTCAGGTACACAGTAAATTACACAGGTAGAATGAAACAGGACATTACAGGTAGAGACAAAAACGTGCAGGAAGGAAGGGAAGGAAGGGAAGGAAGGAAGGAGGGAGGAAGACCACTACATGTTTTACAAGAAAGCATGGGAGGGAGATGATGATGATGAGGAGGAGGAAGATGATGAGGAGGAAGAGAAGATGGGAGGAAGAGGAGAGAAGAAGGCCGACAGCAGCGTGACTCTCTCTCTCTCTCTCTCTCTCTCTCTCTCTCTCTCTCTCTCTCTCTCTCTCTCTCTCTCTCTCTCTCTCTCTCTCTCTCCTTAGGTTTGAAATCTCTATTGACTACAAACACTAACCTAACCTAATGATGGTGGGTGGTGGTGATGATGGATGATGATGGTGATGGTGGTGATGGTGACGAGTAGCCTTGGAGGAGACTTCAACGCTGCCACAAACACCCATCTTGACTCCACCTCAATCATCCACCCCAGTATCTACACCCCCCATCATCCACCAACCACACGCAACCACACCAACGTCACTACGACCTTAATTCCACCACAACTACCGACCTCTATCCACCACAACTACCCTTTATCACCACAACTACAACCTCTATCACAGATCCTGAACTGAGTAATACATTGTAAATAGTGCCCCCCCCAACACCCCTCCTTCTCACCCCTTCCCTCTACCCCTAGCCTCCGCCCCCAGCCCCCTCCCTCCCCTCTGGACAATAATAGCACACACCACAACATATACGCTCCCCCAAGCACCGCCATAAAACTACCTTATTTCCTCCTCTCATTCTTGTAAAATAAATATTATGTGTTCAAACAGGACGACTTAACGTAGAAAGAAACAGAGACTGGGAGGACTAGTAAGAACGTCTGTAAATCCCCCCTCTATCCCTCTCTCCTCCCTCTCCTGTAAATCCCCTCTCCTCTCCTCCTCCCTGTAAATCCTTTTCCTCCTCTCCTGTAAATCCCACCTCCCTCCACTCCTGTAAATCCCCTTCCCCTTTCCTCCCTCTCCCTGTAAATTCCCCCCTCCCTCCCTCCCTTCCTCCCTCTCCCTGTAAATTCCCCCCTCCCTCCCTCCCTGTAAATCCCCTTTCCTCCCTCTCCCTGTAAATTCCCTCCTCTCTCTCTCCCTGTAAATCCCTCCCACTGTAAATCACCCCTCTCCCTCCCTCCCTTCTCCCTGTGGCTATTTATAAAATCACTTTACACAGCCATTTAAGTCCACAGAGGAGTTGGTAAAAATAGCGTCAACATTTAATATTTGTGACGTCAACTCTCGCCATTATACACCAGATAGAAATCGGGATGACAACTACTTAATGTAAATGTCGGGTGGAATGATGGTGGTGAGGGGGGAGAGTGGGGGGAGAGAGGGGGGAGGGAGGGGGAGCAGAGGAAATTGTGGTAAATGGTGGGGGATGAAGGGGAGGAGGGAGACAGTTGGTGGTGGTGGAAGGAGGAGCAGGAGGTGGTAGGTGAGTGGTGATGATAATGGTGGAGGAGGAGTTAATGGTGGTGATGGTGTCGGTAGTGTTGGTGTCAATGGTGGCAGTAACGCGAAAAAACCGTGGCCAGAGTGTTGCCTCCCCCATACTCTTCCTCCCTCTCCTCTACCATTCCTCTCCCCCAACATTCCTCCCCCCCCAGGAGTCCTTTACACCTTATTTATACAGGAGTTGACGTTGACGAGATGTAACAATGTGTCGGGGTGACGGTCCACATGCCTTATAGACCCCCCCCCTGCCTTTCCTCCCTCCCCTTCCCTTCCTCCCCATCCTGCCTCCCTCCTCTTCCCTCCCCTGCCCCTTCTTCTCCCCTTCCTTCCTCCCCTCCCCTTCTTTTCCTCCCTCTTCCTCCCTCCCCTTCCTTCCTCCCCTCTTCTTCCTCCCCTACCTCTCTTCCTCCTTCTTCCTCTCTCTCCCCTTCCTTCCTTCCCAGGATGTTGAAGATGGTGGATGGACTATTTCCGGCCTTCCATCTCATCACTACCACCACACCACCACCACGGAATTGTTACATCAACCACGTACGGTAAGGCCATATTAATTTTGAGCCATTGGACGGGATGACCGAGACAGTAAATTGTCCATTGTCTTCTAACAAGCACGTAATTACTACCTTGTTAATTATATGTAAATTTTATATATAGGCAGACTTAAGGCTACCATGTTTCATAGGTAGTTAAGAGGGTCGTTAGGTAGTTAAGTAGTTTAGAGTAGGGAGGGGATTGTTAGGTTAGGGAAGGGGTCATTGGTTTAGGTTAGGGGATAGGCGAGAGGAGGAGGAGGAATAGGTGAGGAAGGAGAGGTGAAATAGGTAAATAAGTTGGAGGAAGAGGTAAAGAAATAGGAAAAAAATGCAGAGACGAACCGAGTTGTTTTTAAAGAATTAATAGTTTTTAAATTGGGTCATACTGCATCACTATCACCATCATCACCATCAGTCACTACACGGTCACTTAACACATTTGATCACAGCTGTTTCAACGAGCACTAGTTAATGGTAGGTATGTATGTATGTATGTATAAAAATCACCTGAATATATAAAACAGAAAAATCTCGCATTTTCATTGGCTGACAGATTTCCCGTGATACATCAACCAATCAGAGACCAGGAACACAGGTAGTTGGGCCGTCACAACCACTGATTGGAGGTGAGAGGCAGTGGTGTGAAGGATAAGTGGTTAAGGTGGCGACTGTACGAAGAGGCACAGAGGTAATTAAGTCATTAGTGTGACGGATGGACTGTCATGGCGGGTGATCTGAGACATTAAACCACACACACACACACACACACACACACACACACACACGCACGCGCATACACACACTCAAATATACATCATCCACCCAGCCAAGCACACATCCACCCACACACCCAATCCACATGGTCTTCTATTAAGCAAGCAAGCCACCCCGCCCCCCCCACCTTGTTTACATAAGAAAG